GTTGTTTTCTAGTAACATCTTTTCTCATGAAATGTCTGTCAAACTCATAGATTGGCCAGCTCTGGTGCAATCAGAAAGAAACTGTCTAGAGTTTTCTCATTTTGTATTATGCTAATGATACTGCCAATGACCATGAGTTTGTGGTCCTCTTGTTGAATTCCATGATCCGGACCTATAGACGCGAACCCAGAAAGTCTCTTTGTCACACAGAATTTGCCTCTCATGAACTCTTCCCAGACATCTGGTAAATTTTGTTTCCAGCATTGTTAAAAGATATAGCAGAAATAATTAGGGCGTAGTTCAGGGCGTAGTTCAGGTGGTCATGCGCAAATACTTGATAAGAGCCTCTGTACTTACCATGTGCAACATCAGATCCTGTTGCCTGGTGGCCCTAACATACTGATGTATAGTTTCAATCTGCTTGAAGTAGTAAGGATGTAACATTGGATAGGATTTGCATTGCCTAAAAAATTGACCTAATTTCGTGAAGATACCGTATCTCTAGATTCGAACACTGTCAGTGTTTTATTCATGGCTATATTGATATTTCTTCAAATTTCTTTGTTCATGTTGATATCTTACTTATCTGTCTATCAAACAAATGGATACTTCGCTTAAAAACTCTTTCCATTCTGGCATTGTTTTCTAGAAAACTGCCAAAGTAGAGATGGTAGAGAGCAAGCAGGGTTATAGTATGGGGTTCTAGTGACCTGTAGAGATGTTTTCCATTTAAGATTTGTGTCACTTTTGTAGGTGAGTAGAGTCCAGCTTCCACCCAAGCCTGGTCAATTCCACTTGCCTCAACGTATTTTCCCAATGCTGCCAATGCCCAAAAGACTACATGTAGCTCACCGGGTCAAAATAAGAACTGCTTTTTGATGTCATCTCGGTCCACCCAGAGTTTCATCGCCATATCATACAGTTGGAGGTCAAGAGTCATCACCGTTACCTTTCCCTTTCCTAGTACCTCAGTTGTAATATCATGTGCTCTCATCAGAGTTCGGTAGTCTGTAGGAGGTGACCGTATCAAAGGTGAAACTAATGACATTAGTACATTGGTACGGCTTGTAGAAGGTGAGAGTAGGGAGTTAAATGCACCCCATGTTCCTGAAGCTTTGGTTTGTTATTGTGTCTGTCTCTTATACACATCTAGATGTGTATAAGAGACAGAGATTATACTAACTTGAACCTAGATTGGAGCACATAATTTGCATACACTTGGATAGTAAAAAGCTAAATTGCAAAGTAGGTGCTAGGATGAGAGTATGCTAGCCAGGTAGGCTAGACCAGCTATAGGCTATAATAAATTTTCAAGTGTATGCAAATAAGGGCTCCAATTTAGGCTCAGGCTATACTCTCCTGTGATTGGCTCACTCTAAGCCTATTGAAAAATGAATTTATTGCAGACCTAGGATAAGCCATCACCATCTCAGTTGCTCACTTCATTTATAGGATTGCGTGAGAGCAGTAACACCTATGAAAATGTTTGATGCAGAAAAACTAGCAATAAAATATATTGCATAGGTCAATCTTTTGAAGTTTGTTGCCACTTGTGGGTTTTCTAAATGTTAATATTGGACTCATAAATAGCACACGGGACACAGACTATCGGTACTCGTGTTTATTGGATCACACGCCATGATCGAGAACCCCGGACGAGCGTTGCCAGGACATTACATATATTTCACTACAAAGATGATTTCCTCAGTCTATCAGTTGAAGAAAGAAAGTTTCTTGAAATCATGGAGAAGGAAGGCGGACTTCGGGATGGCAAGTGGACAGCACCGCTGCCTTTCAAGAAGCCAAGAGAACGTCTCCAAATAATAGAGAGCAAGCATGGTCGCGAGCTCAAATACTCAGGAAAAGCATGGACAGAAATCCTCTTAAAAACAACACATGCTTGATTTCATGGATGGAGTTATCAATAAAGGGCATGCAGAAGTTGCTCCTCCATTGAAGAATGATGAAGAGTTGCCGGGTTGTTACCTTCAAGAATGGAAATCTTGGAAAAATTATTTAAAAGAACTACAAAACATTTCAATACCACGTGCGTACCCACTTACCTTTGGTGAAATGGTTGGACTTCATGTGTTTTGCGACGCATCGGAAGTAGCAGTTGCCGCCGTAGCCTACTTGGTCAGTAAAGATGGTGAACATAGACACACAGGTTTTGTCTTTGGTAAGTCGAGGTTAGCACCGAAAGCGGGACACACAATCCCTAGACTGGAGCTGTGTGCAGCCGTATTGACTATAGAGATAGCAAAAGTAATCTGTGCTGAAGTCGATATACCTTCTCAAGAGGTGACCTATCATTCGGACAGCAAGGTAGTCTTAGGATACCTAAACAACACAACTAGGCGTTTTCATACGTACGTAGCAAACAGGGTGTTCAAAATCTTGCAATTTTCTGATCCCCATCAATGGAAGTAAGTTCATACAAGCAAGAACCCTGCGGACCATGGGACACGCCAGGTAGCTGCACGAAACATGAAAGATTGTCCATGGCTTAAAGGTCCTCATTGTTCAGTATTCAACGTAGATGTACCAGAATGGTTTCCCTTGGTAAGTCCTCAACAGGATAAAGAACTCAGACAAGAGGACAAAGTGGTTGTTATGAAGACAAATGTACATGAATTTTGCCTTTTGGAAAGAGCCAACAAGTTTTCATCTTGGGAAAGCTTGATTAGGCCCATTACTGTACTTATACATGTGGCTTCTTCATTCCACTACAAAAATAACGATGATCATTGCAAAGGGTGGCACCATCGCCGTCTGAATGATATAGCTCTAAAACAGAGAGCAGAGAAGTTGATAATCAAACAGGCACAAGAAAAATTCTATCAACGAGAACTGAGAAGCCTGAAAAGCAGCAAACCGCAACCCAACGACTCATCAATACTATCACTGGCTCCCATGCTTAATGAAGATGGGTTAATCTGTGTTGGTGGGCGACTCAGGAAGGCGACTCTTCCAATTATCATGAAGCACCCTACTGTCGTACCGGGTAAGTGTCACATTGCAACTTTACTAGTAGGACACTTCCACCATAATATATATCACCAGGGCAGACAGTTTACTGAAGGAGCAGTGAGAGAAGCTGGGTATTGGGTAGTTGGGTGTAAAAAGTTGGTATCTTCTATCATCCATCATTGCTTAACCTGCAGAAAGTTAAGAGGAAAGCTCAGTATCCAGCGTATGGCTGATTTACCCAGTGATAGGATTACATGTGTCCCACCTTTCACCAATGTAGGGGTCGATTGTTTCGGGCCGTGGGAAGTGACAGCCAGAAGAACGAGAGGAGGAGTAGCTTTAAATAAACGGTGGGCTGTGATGTTTTCGTGTCTTACCTCAAGAGCCACATTGAAGTAATTAAGACGACGAGTAGTTCTTCATTTATAAATGCGATGAAGAGACTAATAGCCATCAGAGGAGCAGTTAAGGTATTTAGATCTGATCAGGGGTCTAATTTCATTGGTGCAATTGGAGATGATACAGTCCAAACGTATTTGCTTAAGAACAATGCCGAGTGGCATTTAAATCCTCCACATGCCTCTCACATGGGAGGATCATGGGAGAGGATGATCGGAGTAACAAGAAGAATTCTAGATGGCATACTAATTAAACATAAGTATCAAGCCTTGACACATGAAACACTGGTCACTTTCATGGCCGAAGTCGTAGCAATAGTTAATGCAGAACCATTGATACCATTGACTACAGATGCTGAGGAGATAGGCTATTTAAGTCCAGCACTGTTACTTACCCAAAAGCATGGTAGCATCGAAGCCTTAATTACAGATAATTTCCCCAATATGTACCAAGCACAATGGAAGGCAGTGCAAATATTGGCGGATCGTTTTTGGAAACAATGGAGAGTACACTATCTACAGACGCTGCAACAGAGGCAGATATGGAAAAGAAAATGTCGAGATTTCCTGGTAGGCGACGTGGTTCTACTGCGAGAAAAGAATGCATCAAGAAATCAATGGCCACTGGGTGTTATTACTAACACCTTTCCAAGTGACGACGGCAGCGTCCGGGAAGTTGAAGTGCGATTGTCTTCGACTGGCAACATTTATCAAAGACCTATTATAGGTCTTTACACGAGATGGTTCTATTAATTGAAGCAGAAGATTAATAATCATGGATTTTGTTGGCTGGTGGCCTGTGTATTATAAAATGTTATTGTTCATTCTTAGAATCGAATTGTTTGCCATTGTGGTATTGTGTTGTGATGGCGCCGGCCATCACGGGGGGAGTATGCTGTCCGCAGTTCTTGCTGCTTCTTGCGCGTTCCATAGTTCTCTTGGAATTTCTGTTTTCGTTGTAGTTTACGCGCTCCTCTGGCACTGCGCAGAGAGACACATACTATTCTTGGCAGTCAAGTTCGGTTCATGTTGTTTTATGGTAAGATTCACATATTTTAATAGTTATTTTTATGCATACCTAAGCCAATTCAATTAATTAATAATTGTGATCACAGACATATAAGCCTTGTTCCATATAACATAGTGTATTTCCTTAGAAATTAGATATTTACTTTGTCCTAGTTCGGCAATGGAGTGCTAGCAAGACATAGGGCCTACGCTGTATCATTTCACATATAATGAATCATGGAAACCAGTTACTTTTATTGAAATAATGATCACAATATTGTATCATAAAACTTGTAGTTTATATTCATGATGGATCCCAGGAATATAGAAATTAACGTAAAGTGGTTTTGGGATCATAGATTGATTGATAGTTGAATAAATAGTTTATTATTTTGATTCTACTGATAAATAATGGTAAGACCGCATGTTCGCGGCATGTAGATGTTCCAGGGACCCTACGTTCGTCGGATTGTCGTTGCTATGGCAACAGGGTTCGTCTTGAATATTATGTGTTGAGGGTCGCCCTCATTTGGCTAACATGAATATGATCCCTGATGTATCCTTAGAATAGTTGGAAACGGAGAATAACATGTTTAGTTTTATAGTTGTTATCTTTGACTTTATATTAGAACGTCTTATGTATTTATTCATACTCTAGGTGAAGATAATGCTGAATTCACTACACTATAGTACAGTAGCTATCGTGGCTCACAGCTTTGTAAGTCTTATCATATCTCACAAGTTCAATCGTTAATGTTATAGTACAATTATAATAATCCAGCACTATATGACGTTTTCATGTCTTGTATGGTAATTCACATACGAATGTAATTATGCCCTATTATGATAGTTATGCAAATGATTAATGACATGATGATACAGTATGTAATTTTATTGTTATTTACAGTTACCACGCAAACAAATGCGAGTGATCAAACAGGGTTTGTGAACAAGCAATAAAAGGGTTATACTAGAGGAGCAATTTTGAGTCAGTCATTTGCGTCCTTTATAATTAAAGCATTATTCGAGCACCTTCATTAATATTATTATTATTATTATCATCATTATTATTATGATTATTTTATATATTGTTTATCAACCATATTAACATTAAAAACATGAATTAGCATATATGGATAAAATTATCGCAGAAAATAAATTTATAATTTATAAGATTATTTTTTATAACAGAATGAAATAGGTAACATTTTTATTTAAAATCGGGTTTTGCATTGACGTAATTTTATTTAATATGCTGATCATTATTTTCTCATTATTCAAAATATCGTAAAATTATTATTACTATTATTGTTTGTTTATTTTTTGTTTTATTTATATGCATAGGCCTATATAATATATAATGTATATATTTAATAATTTAATTAGAAATAATTATTTTAATTACTAATTGTAATACAAATATAATATAATGTTGACAATAATATAGGCTAAGCTTGACCTAATAAATTATTTATATAATAAAGCAAAATATTTAGAACATCATCACAGTCCAGCCCTCCAACTCTTGTTTTAATAAGGTATCTAATTAATTCACTTTAATATTATATTTTGATCTTCATTCATAATTATTATTATCATTAGTATTACTTTTTTATTTTTATTTATTAATTATTATTATCTGTATTATTAATATTATTATTATTATTATTATTATTATTATTATTATTATTATTATTATTGTACAGACATGTTCCCTTTTTTGCCTACCAGTCTCATTTCGTTTTAAGTGAAATAAAATTATAAATAATGAATTATACCAATGTCATCTATCGATAAAAACATCGATTCGATTAATTAACAGCAGCTTTGTGGCAGTGCCGATAGAAAACAGCAACTTTTTCGCACTGCAGCAGTGCCGATAGAAAACGGCAGCTTTTTGGCACTGCGGCAGTGCCGATAGAAAACAGTAGCTGTTGTTCGCACTGCGGCAGTTCCAAATCGGCACTGCGGCAGTGCCGATAGCCACTACCGTTATAAATAGCTACTTATAATATTAGGAATTAGGATTTCTAAGTCTACTTCAGTACCGAAACAGGTCACAATTTCATAATTCAGTCTTTATCAAAATTACAGGGTTTTTGTTATGAAACACTACAGCAGGTAATAGAGAATTAACAGCAGGTAATTTTGACTTGGATTACCGAGTACACTCCTTTTAGCCGTGGGTCCGTTTAATCACAAATATTTTAAACACGCCTGTGTTCTTCCTCAGAGTGAGGACAATACATATTGATCAGTATTGACATTGTCAAAATTGAGTGACTCACTAAAATTGCTATTTTTTTAACAAGTGGTTATCAATAAATTATACAGTAATCAATAATAGTAATCATAACCATGGATACAACAATTAACATTTCTTTAATAATGCTATTAAATTAAAAAAAAATCATACATAGTCGTAGGAAATATAAAATTATATTATAGAATGTAAACTAAACTAAATACCTTTGGTAGTTTGCTGTAAGGCTATGGAGCAATTTTGGGAAAAAAAGCGTAAAATGAGTAAGAACATAATTAATTACAATTTTACAAAATATTACATCTAATTAATATTCATAGTTGTCGAAATTTGATAATAAAATTATTACTGATAACTAATTTTAATAGTCATTTAAACATAATTGTACTCTACTGTAGATAATTTATTTATTTATTACCCTATCTTTTGACTGCAACCGTATTCCATTAGATGAACATATTATTAAAATTGATATTGTTTATTTTTTTGTTAATTGTGCTAACATGCAATCACTATTATTGAGAAATACACAACAACATATTGATCACATAATGTCTGCTACAATGACCTACATGCCTGTCAGTCTCAAACAGTTAATAAAATAGTATAATGATTGATTTCAAATAAAAGGCCAATAGGTATGTAAAGTTCACAAGCGTAAAATAAAAAAAAAACAGTATAGATGTGACCTTTAATTGTTTTTAGGATGTCTATTGATTCCCTTCAAACATTAACAACAATATTAATATTTATAAATGTATACTCTTAATAATCAATCAAGATATCAATGTTTATATCAATGGTGATAATTGTTTTTGAATACCAATGCGTAAATCCCAACACGATGGCGTGTATTTCAATACTTGGAGTATGTATTATACTCTCTACTCTGTGGAAATTATTTGAATAATAATACATAATTATGCGAAAAAGCGAAGGTCATTGATTAGTCACACGCCATCACGTGATTGTGAAAAAAAACCCTAGATGGTGTTTATAGACATACGCTCTCCTTTATTAGCAGATGTATACATCAATCGAATAGGCAGTTTACGCAGACGTCAGTCAGTAACATCCTGTACCTGCTTTTGAAGGTAAGCATCCACAGTGTAATTATAATAGGTTAAAGCAGGGAGTTGTGTTATTCCAATGGTGATTGTTTTTGTGTCTACTGCCCCCAACAGGGGTGTAGACAGTATGTCATGATTACAGAGCTATTATATCTCTATGAGATCAATCAAAGAGTATATAACAGAGGAGAGTCACTGCTATTCTTCAGGCACGCGAGTCAGGGTGACGCCCGATCGCGATTTTTTTCCGTACGAAACATTTACATGAAACTCCACTCGGGCCGTCTCGACAGAATCGACTCGGGCCGGAAAATCTCATATTGCAGAATTCAGGAGGTCAAAATGTCATCAACAGATAAACGTCTACAAAATGCAAAACAACTTCTGAGAGAACGTCGCTGTCTGATTTCTAAAAAATACATTGATTGATGTTACCATGCTAATACTAATGGGTTGTTTAAACTGACATATAATATTTGATTGAGCTGCACGAATAATGGAAAGCGTTATTTGAACTTGAGTTACATACTGTGACAATTTTATTATTTTTTTTTTTTTTTAGTTAGATCTGGGTTTTGCATATTTACCTAGGCCTACTAACTACTAAAAATATACGCTTTCAGGGGAAAGCACAAAGAGGAAGGAATAGCGCGTTTCTTT